GATCCTTGGACCATCTGCATTCAGCCCAGTCAAGCCTGATTCCTGAGTATCTCTCCTCGACCCTGTGGGGCCTCCGGCAGACACACACACAGAGCTGTGCACCGTCACCGGCCCGGATGTACCGCCTGAGCTGTCCTTAGAGAAGAGGTCTCTCACGGGGCCGTGAGCTTTGTAGGGTTTGCGTGACTGTAGGCACCCCCTGGAACCCCGTCTCGACAGCTTCTCCCTCAAAGGGAGCGTCTGGGTGACGGCCCCCCAAGAACAAAGGCTGTCTGCAGCCTCCTGGTGAACTCGGGGCCCCTCTGCCAAGCAGAACCGACATCAGGCTTTGAAGCGACAGTGCTTCAAATCTTCCTTCCAAGACTTCAAAGTGCAAAAGGGCCACACTTAGGTTGTAGCTCACGAGCAAGTGGCCACAGGGCCCCTCCGGTGGCGGCTTTGTGAAGAGAATGCATCTTGCAGGGCTCTTGGCTGGGTATGGGATGCTCAGGCTCAAGTTGGGTGGGGGGGGGTGCTGTCCGTTTGTCCTTCTGCTTCAAGCCCCACGAGTCCTCCGGGCCCTGCCACCCACACTCTCTCAGATGCCTGTTCACAGTTGTGCATCCTGGGCTCAGGGGGAAGCCGGCTGTGGGTGGAAAAAGGAGGGGGCTGTGATCATAGTTGGGGGGGTAGATGCTTCCCCCGCAAAGTGCCACTCTTCTGGGTCTTAAGGCCCTTGTCCCCTCAGCAGTGGGATCCTCACGGTGGAGGGCAGTTCCGTGCGGGGATGTCCACCATCTCCACGTGGTACCGTGTCCCTGCCTCGAGACTGCTCCGCATGCCAGGCTCTCTCCTCACAGGCCTATTAACTGAAGCCCTTTTAGTCTCGGCTGGTCTCCACAGTCACCTGCCAGCCCTCGGCCATTTCAAGCATCTTTGCAATTAGTGTTCATTTGTGGCAACTTGCTACAAGGCTGTCTTACTATTGCCAATGTCAACCGTACCCACAGCAGCTATATAGCATTAATAGACCGACTTTCAGCTCCACAGTGTCCCCACAGAGGGATGCGGGAGGAATGTGCAGCTCCTGGACTAGCATTCTGCAGGTCAAGTGCTCCCCGGGGGCCGATATCCCGAAGGAGGGTCAGTCCTTGCCCCTGAGGGGACTCGGCCCAGATGGGTGGTGGCTCCGGGGTCAGCAGGAGCTGGCTGTGGTACTGGTCTTCTTGGCCTGCCCTAACAAAAGACCATAGACTTGAACAACAGGAATGTATCTCACTGTTCTGGAGCCTGGACGCCCAGGATCAAGGTATCAGCAGGGCTGATGTCTGCTGAGGGCTCTCTCCTTGGGTGGCAAATGGCCGCCTTCTCCCTGAGTCCTCACACAGCCTTCCTCAGCACATGCAGGGGGAGAGAGAAAAAGCAAACACTCTGGTGGCTCTTCCGTAAGGACACTAGTGCCGTTGTGAGGGCTCTGGACTCAGGACCCCATCTAAAACGAAGTATCTCCCAAAGGCCCCATTTCCAAATACTACCATACTAGGGGTTAGGACTTCAACATATGGATTTGGGGGGTGTGGGGAGACACATAACAACTGTCAAGAGCGAGGATGTCTCCAGCCAGCTCTCAGCACCCAGGCTGTAACTGGGCTGTGCTTGAGACTGTGGGGAATTTAGGAGAAAGCAGTGGCCCAAGCCAGCATCTAGGAGCTCACACTCTCCAGGAGCTCTGGATAGGGGAGCAGGATTCCCGTGGGAGGAGCCATGAAGGAAAACTCAGATTTAACCCGGCAGAGTCAGACTCACACCAGAGGTGGTCGGCAAAGGACCTCTGGGGGGCAGGCCCTGTGTCTTTAGCCCCTTGGCAATGAGCGGGTCTCCTATGCTGGGCCACACAATGTCCGTAAAAGGAGCCAGGGCCTTTGGAAGCTGTTCCAATAGCATGGTGGTAGCGGGACAAAATGGAGGGAGAGGGTGCGGCGGACTCAGTCCTGGAGGGACAAGAGCTGGGCTTGTCGGGTCTCTGTGGCCCAGCGGCTACCACAGGGAGCCAAGCACCCAAGTGGGTGTGGGGAACTATGCTGAGGGCAGCTCCCACACCCTCACACCCAGCATCCGTGTGGCTGTTCTGGCCCGAGCCCTTCTTGGCCCCTTCGGCCAAGACAGTTGGGTCACCCGGCAAGGGCCTTCAGCGGCCAGTTCTTCCCTGGAGCCACTGCGGACCAAGACCACGTCACACAGCATTACAGGCATCTGTTTATTTGGCAAATCCAATTAATCAAATCATTTTCCAAATGAATTGTGCTAGTTTCACACATGTACATATGACAAGTATGTCTTGGGTTTTTCCAGACTGGGAGGAAGACTATGGTCACATTTACGGCCAAATAATGTCCCCAGACCTCCCTTACCAGCAGGCATTTCAGCCATTTCCACAGCTAAGCTCAGCGCTCCCCAGCTCACTGACTGCCACTTGCTGGTGGGAGTGGGCCCCTGGAATGCCCCAGCACTCAGCCCTAACCCTGGCCCTGACCTCTGCCCCTTCCCTGCCTGCTGGGCCCAGCGGGCAGATCTCCCTGCAGAGCTGCCTGGCCTGAAGTCCTGGGCCTGAGCCTGCTCCCACAGGCCCCGATGAGTCCCCTGCGACTTGAAAGCCAGGATGGGTCTGCATGGAGAGAGAAGAGGCCTGTGTCCTCCCCCAGTGTGTTGGGATCAGTCGGGGGGAGGGGGGCGTTCTCCAAGGCTCACCCACAAGCCCACAGTTTCCACATAGACCTGAGGCTGCTATCTCCCTGCAAGGACCTACATGGCTCATGGACCTCCCCCCTACCCTGTCCTGCCTTCTCTGTCACCCAGCTCGGGCAGGGTCAGGCTGCCCACAAGACAAACTTCATGTTCATGAACATCACAGGGGGTGATGGGGGTGGTCAGGGAGCTGCCATCTCCTTTCTCTTAGGAAGCCTGTCCAGCCCTAAGTACACTGGGAGATGTAAATGCCACACGGTGGGCTCCCAGCTCCCAGCACAAAGAGAGAAATTGGAGGAGAAGACTGACCACACACACGCATGGGCTCTGATCCCCGGCCGGCACAAGTGTCCTACTGGGTTTAACCACCCGGCTTCCTTAGAGCCTCTGTGCAGGATGGCCACGGCACTGGAGGCACCTTGGGGCAGCTGGGCCTGCAGAGTCCCTGCCCCGGGCTGCCGCCTCCCGGAGGCCCAGTCTGCGGGGCCGGAGCCTCTCTGATCCTGGTTGGGATCACTCCTCCACACCCATTTCCACCCCTGCATTGACACTTGCTTCCTCACCCTTCCCTGCCCCTGACCACTGAGCTGGCTGCGGCCGAAGCAGGAGGTAGAGAGGCTCCGGCCTTGGACGGCTCTCGGTAAAGCTGGGGATTCTCAAGCAGGAAGCAGCTCTGCCCTCCATCCTTCCTCCCTGCCACTCCCCCACCCCCTCACAGAGCCCTGTAGCTGCAAGCCTGGGGTAATCGCCTGATCTTGGCCTCCGCCCCTGCCTCCCGTCAGGGTTTTATCTAAACCACCCGCTTCCCCACCACCCTGCCACCCTACCTTCCGTCCACCAATTGGCAGTGGAAGCCTCTTTCCCTCCAGGTAGAAAGTGGTTCTTTTCCTCCTCAGGACCTCCCCCTTTTTCACACAAAGTCTCATCTCTTACATCTCATCCCACTCACTCCGTCTTGCAAAACCACCCCACAATTAATCCTTGGAATTGTTTTACTCTCTGGAGCGGCCTGAGTCATCGGAAGGCTTTCGGCTGTCACGGCAGCGCCTCCTCAAGATCATCCGAGAAGCCCGGTCCAAACAGTGATCGACTGTTTAGACTGTTTACAGTCTCCAACCAGGAACTGCCAGGAGCTGCTTGCCATCGAGATGGTTCCTCCGATCCCTGGCTGGCTCATTTTCTCCCTCCCAGCCCCTGGAGAGAGACAGTCCTTTGGACAGTGCCACCCAGCCAGCCGCCCAGACCAGACTCAGGTGGGCAAGACAGCACGCGTGCCTTATTCTCCTCTGGTGGAGCCCAGTCAAGCCTGACTCTTTCTCCTCGGTCTCAGTGAAACAGCCTAACCAACAATCTCCCAGTCTGTTCAAGGTCGCAAGCCGGTCACGTTCAGGAATTTCCCTTCTCCTAGTCTTGTCTCCACCGCCTCTCTTCCCACTGGGCCCGTGCTAAAGCTCCATGTCGTGGACGCCATGATGGCAGTGGGGGTGGCTGTCCACTGCCAGCCCTTGGCCTGTCTCCTTCCTTCCCCAGGTGCCACCAACACCTTTCCACTCTGTCCCCACTGCCTCCACAACGCATCTGTAGCTTCGCCACGGCCTGGTCCACATCAGCTTCCCTCATCCTTCTGCCGCCTTCTCGTGGGCACAGGAAGGTTTGGCTGGCTGTCTGGACCTTTCTTCCTCATAGGAAACTTGGGGCTCTCTGTATGTTCTTGCTCTGCCCTCATCACCCCCACTTGTTATGAGGTTATTGGCCACCAGAGCCCGAGAAGGGATTGGGAAGGGTAAGTCTGCTCTACCTTGCGATCCCCAAACCAAAACGGAGCTTGATACATCCTTACTGCTCCTTCTCTGCCCAGAACACCTTCCACTGTGACCAACCCTCTTGGTTCTCTCTCCTAACTCCTCTCTCTGTGTTTCCAGAATCTTCTAGTCTAACAGAAGGATAGGGGGAACTGGGAAACAGCCTTGCTCGGATGGTCTCCTTTTTTTCAATTTTTCTGGCTCATGCTTTTTGAGCTTAGAAATAAAGAATCCACCTGGTTCTTGGGTCCTTAGAGATTCCCAAATACTGGGTGATTTATGTTGAGCTGCCTGGGTGCCAGGGAAAGGTCTTTGGAGCATAAAGAGCAAAGACGGTGTTCGGTGAGCATCAAAAGGGAAAGCATACCAGTAGACGTGCCACATTCGTCCACCACATCAGAAACCTTGGAACAGGGTATCTGCTACCAGAATTTGGGGCTGGGGTTTCCATCCCCTGCATAAGTCTTTCTCTCCTTAGCCCCTGCTGATCATGGTATCCTGGAGGACCAGCTGGACCCTGGAAGGCCGGTGGGCCATGATGTCCATGCGGAATTCTTTGATGACAAAGTAGTAGCAGAAGACATCTAGGCAGCAGTTGACGTTGGAGAAACACATGGACAACTGCAAGAACAAGCTGATGTTCTGCTTAGCGCTGCACTGCACAATAAAGCCATTCCGTACCAGGAACTGCAAGAAGAAACCCAGGTGGACCGGAAGAAAGGAGACCACAAAGACAGCCAGACTGGCTGCGATTGTCCAGACACAGGCCTTCTGCTGGACCCAGTCCCGGGTGAGGTCTCGACGGCTGATCAGGATGTGAATGCTCCTGGAGGAACAGAAACCCATGACACCCATGGGAAGAAGGAAGCCGAACACCTCAAGGGGGAAGAAGACCTTGGCACTCCAGGTGCCATCGGACATGTTGTGGAAGCATGTGTACTTTTCCACTTTCCCATGAAAGCTGTAGATAGGGATGCTCCCGGCCCACACCAGGACCCAGATGGTGCAACAGATCCCCAAGATCTTCCTGGGGGACCGGAGGTGGCTGACCAGGAACGGGTACTGGATGGCCAAGAATCTGTCCAGACTAATGAAGCAGATGGTGAAGACACTCCCATACATGCTGATGAAGTAGAAGCACTCCACCAGGGTACAGAAGAAAGGAAGGGGAGCACGCACGTTGGACAGCGCCATCTTGAAAGGAAGGGACAGCACCAGCAGCAGGTCAAAGATGGCCAGATTGATCATGTAGATGGAGGTGGCGGCATAATCTGGCCACCTCTTCTTCAGGAAGGAGCTGAAGCCTCGGATGGCCAGCACGTTGAGGAGGAGGCCCAGGAGGAAGGTGGGGATATGGACCACCAGCTGCACGGTTTTCATCAGCTCATCCACGTCCCTGAAGGAGCAGTTCTGGCTCTTGTTGAGTTGCTGGCTCATGTCCTTTCCTGCAACACCAACAATAGATGAGATGAAGTCCCTCTCGTTCGCTACAAGCGACGGATCCCCAATGACTGTATCACACAGCCATTCGTGCCTACTAAATAACAACTAGAAGACGCAAGAAAGAAAATTGCCTCTAATCCTGCTGCCCAGTAGAAGTGCTATTACCTTTTTGTGCATTTCGCTCCAGACTCTCTTTCTCTCTCTCTCTCTCACACACACACACTCACGCACACATGTGTGCACGAGTGCCTTTCTCTTTTACAAAAATGGAATTGTGTGTGAACATCTGTCCCTTGTTTTCAATCAGAACTCCTGTTGAAAGTAGTAACAATGACAAACCCTGGCCCAGAATGGCTTAAGCAAAGGACAGAATTTCACATAACTGAAAACATAACTAGGGCAGGGCCGACCTGAGCTACAGCTTGATCAGGAATTCAAATGCTGCTTCCAGGACCCAGCCCCTATTTGTAGGCTGTCTCTCTGATCTCCGCCACCCGCATCTGGGAGGGTTGCCCGAAGGGCTGGTGGCACATCACATTCCCTCAGACATGGTGACTAGTTGTTCACTGGTTCAGGGATGGACACTTGATCCACCCGGAGGTGTTGAAAAGCGACAGTAACTCTTACTTGGGTTTCCAGAAAGGGGCTTGGGGCTGTCTCAGTGACACCTGAAGTTGGAAAGACATAAGGGCTGGAAGTGACAAGCCGGAGACAAGTCAGGGTTTCCGAACAGGCCAAAGACGAGGGTCCAAGGCAGGCCCTGGCCAGGTCTCACTGCAGAGCTGAATCTGGGGGTGTGGAGGGCAGGTGCGTGCTGCTGGGGATCTCTATACCGTCGTAGGTGGCTGCCTTGGTTCGGGCTCCCGTAACAGAATACCATGGACCAGGCGCACCTGGGTGGCTCAGTCGGTTAGGCATCTGCCTTCGGCTCAGGTCATGATCCCGGGGTCCTGGGATCGAGCCCCGCATCGGGCTCCCTGCGCAGCGGGAAGCCTGCTTCTCCCTCTCCCACTCCCCCCGCTTGTGTTCCCTCTCTGTGAAATAAATAAATAAAATCTTTAAAAAAAAAAAAGAATACCATGGATGGTGTAGCTTATAAATAACAGAAATTCCTTTCTCGCAGCTCTGGAGGCTGGGCATCGCAGATCAAGGACGCAGCATGGTTGGGAGAGGGCCCTCTGCCAGGTTGCGGACTGCTAACTTCTCTTTGCAACCTCACATGGCAGGAAAAGGACAAGAGGGCCCTCTGGGGTCTCTTTTCTAAGAACACTGATCCCATTCACCTCCCAAAGGCCCCACCTCCTAATACCACCACCTTGAGGCGGTGGGTAGGGGTGAGATTTCTGCATATGAATTTGGGAAGGGGGATGGGACACAAACATTCAGTCCCTAACAGTGGCCCTGGAGCAGATCAAACCCAGGAGACATTCGACCCTACCCAGGAGGCTGGATAGAGAAATCAAAGATGACCCAGACTCCATGCACGCACCCCTCCTTTCTCACGCCCCCACCCCCACCCCAAAGGACGCAGACCTGCTGACGTGGCTGGTCTGTGCCAGGCCCAGGAGCACACAGGGCCGCTGCGTGGGAGAGGTCAGTCACACTGGCCGCGGCTGCTCCTCGCGCCCCTCCCACCCTCAGGGACTCCCTGGCAGCAGGGGCGGGGGGCCCAAAATGTAGACGCAGCAGAGATTAGGCGCCAACATTGCCTTTTACCAAGAATCCTGTGCTAGCGACCAATGCACTCATTTGCTGAGCTTCTGTTACTCTACTAGTTTTTTTCTTTTATTGAAAAAGTATCCTATGCATTCAATAAGATATTCAGATGGTACAAAAAAAAAAGAAAAGAAAGAAAGAAAGAAAGAAAAGAAAGAAAAAAAAAAAAAAAAAAGAAGAAAGAAAGAAAGAAAGAAAGAAAGAAAGAAAGCCTCTGTTGTACCCCAGAGCCTTGGTTGTCCTTTCTAGAGACAACCGCAGTTAACCATTCTGTGCATAGTTTTTCCAGAAATTTTCCAAGGATATGCATACACACACACACACGCATACGTACATACATATATGTGTGTGTGTGTGTGTGTGTGTGTATGATGTTGCTTTAAAATTTGGAAAATACTACACCCACAGCTCTGTCCCTTCCTTTTTCACTTCACAACGTTTCTTGGAAATTGTTCCACATCAGCATCTATGAATTGGCTTTTTCTTCTTAATGGCACACTTACATCCTGTCGTGTGGAGATACCACAACCCATTTAGCCAACAGCCTATTGACGAACATTCAGGTTTCATAGGGTTTTACTGGCAAACAAAAACTTCCACAGCAACCATCCCAGTGACTTATTTCTTTGCTATACAGATATCATTAAGAGAATCCCCATTCTGTTATTGTTTCTTGTCAGTAGAGCTCCCTTGAAAGCTTTAGGAAAGGAAGGACTTGGGCATTTTTAAGACCCTTTATTTGAGTGTTTTTAAGACCTTATGCCATTCCCAAACCCTCCCTAACAGTTGGTAAAAAAGGAATATATTTTTATACCCTCCACGGAGAGATTATGTGTTAAACATTTAACACACATTACTCGAGTTGGTGGCTTTCCTATGTGTTAACTGTTCTCAGGGATTGATGTCACAAAAGATCTAGGAAAATGTATTTTCTCACATTCAAAACTTTAGGCCCCTGAGGTCTGTGTGAATGGTGCCCCCTGGCGTTGTGCGGCGTGGAGGCCTGGTGTAACTGCTCCTACCCGAACACACCTGCAGTAAAAACAAGCTGGCAGGCTGCTTCCTCCAGACTAAAAATGCCAAAAGATCCACAGGCCTACCTCAAAAAACTAGCTAGAATAACTTGGAGCCAGCAAGATAAATTTCAAAAATGATGAAAAAATCAGGCAAAAATTCAATCCAGGTCTCACCGGAAAGTGTTGCAACACAAAACAGGAAGGCACAATTGGTTCAGAGAATTCACTTAAGCAGCAGAAACAGAAGTAAACCAAGAACCACAAAAAAGGAGTTCAAATACAGGTTTGTGTTTAAAGAGATTCAACATGACTGCAGAAAAAGGAACTTGGGCATCCGTGTGGGGCTGGGTCATGCTCAGGCACACTCCATGGACGAATCTACCACATCACCGGTGGTTCAGTGACTAGAACTAAAAGAGCCAACAGCAGCAAAAAAAAAATCAGTGATGCTCAAAGGTAAACCCAAACCCAACCCCAACATACGGCTGAATTGAACAGACCAATGAAAAAGGAAGGGAGTGTCTGCCTTCAGCTTGGGTGGTGATCCCAGGGTCCTGGGATGGAGTCCTGCATTGGGCTCCTTGCTCAGGGGAGAGCCTGCTTCTCCCTCTGCCTCCCCCCACTGCTCATGCTCTCTCTCTCTCCCTCTGTCTCTCTCTCTCAAATGAATAAATAAAATCTTAAAAAAAAAAAAAAGGAAGGGAGAAAATGATCGGAGGGATGCTGGGGCTTGTCTGACTCGATGGTACCAGGTGGATGTGTGCGAAAAAGACACAACTCAGCCCTCAGTGTTCTCCAGCAGGACCATCTTAAAGGTCACATTTGAATTACTGTCAGACTTCAAATGGGAACTTCTCAAACGCTAATCTTTGAAGTCAGAGAAAGTACTCTGGACTGGTAAAAGGAAATCAGTTTGGGAAAAAAAAAACTTCCAGCTAATGGCAGAGTAAGCAGAGAATCTGAAAAATTAATCCTCTGAATTCCCTCTGAATGTTCAAAGAAACCACCTTTTCGAAAATCTTCTTTAAAAAAAAAAAAAAAGATCAGGAACTTCTCTGGAACAAGATAAAAAGGCTCCAGGCCGCAGCTAGAGATAAAAGAGTCATTTTTCTCAAAGATGGGCTGCCAGTAAAAGTCAGTCCCCTTGTGATGGGAGCCAGGAAGCTCCCCACACTTGACCTGTTGCCGGGAGCCCTCGATAGTCCCTGTGCCAGGCAGCCCAGGGACCTACACCAACGGATCTGCCGCACTGGTGCGGGGGCCGAACGCTGGGGAACAGATGGGTTTTTTTTGTTGTTGTTGCTTTTTTTTTAAGATTTCATTCATTTATTTGAGAGAGAGAGAATGAGAGATAGAGAGCACGAGAGGGAAGAGGGTCAGAGGGAGAAGCAGACTCCCCGCTGAGCGGGGAGCCCGACGCAGGACTGGATCCCGGGACTCCAGGATCATGACCTGAGCCCAAGGCAGTCGCCTAACCAACTGAGCCACCCAGGTGCCCCTGGGGAACAGATGTTAAGACAGGATTCGATGTTGGAGAGATTTCTTAGGACAAATGCCTGTGCAGGATCCAGGGGAGAGCAGGTCTGACATCTGTGGATGGAGAGAGGGAAGGAAGCTTCAGAGGGTTGGGGGAGAAGAGAGTCAGCGCGCAGTGCAGCTGGGAGAACGTGCTGGCCCAGCCGCTGGGGGGGCCCTATGCTCTCCAAGTCAAGCAGGAGTCACCCAGGACTAGTCCCTCTGCCAGGCTCAGTGATGGGCTGGAAGCAGCCCAAGGACAGTGTGGCCCCAGTGTCAACATCACGGTAGAGCCGAAGGGGCAGAGCTGGGCTGTCACCTGTGCTCCCAGGGGGCAGCCAGTTCTCCTGCAGGGACGTTCTCCTGAAGGGAGGCTGCTGCAGCCCCCTGACAGCAACCACCAAGGCTGTCCTAACGCCTTCATTTACATCAGAAGCTGGCTATTGCGTGACAGGCAGTGGTGGGGACATTCCCAATTACCATGCCCAACAGGACCATCTACAGGTGTTCGCTTTCTTCGGCAGGGATGGCGGCGGGGGGAGGGGGGGCGGGGGGGTCCTATTGCCTCACTGGGAGCATTTGATCGGGCCCTGTCTCCAGCCTCATACCAGGAAGGAAATAGAACTGAGCGGGGAGAGGTCATGGGTCAAGCAAACCGGGCCTGTGAATAGACCAGAAGGGCCCGAGATGACCTTTGTTAGTCACGGGCAGCGAGGTGCCTGAGAGGTGGGGCTGAATCGAACAATG